GAGTCGGCATTAATAATTATTGTAGCCATTTAGCTCCAACCCCCCGATTCATTGAGGACTATCTTGTGAGTGTCCTCTAGGTGGAAAAAAAGGAAATGAAGGTTTAGCTGAAGCAAATTTGGAACTTTACTGACAGGAAGTGTGGTAATGTAGGCTACAAAATAAAACAGGAGGTAGGAAGGAAACATCAAACAAAAAGATGTAGCAACTCCATAAAGGTTTTTTCTGTAATTTCTTTCTGTAGAAGTGCGAGGAACTGTAAAACATTCCCACGGTTAACTCAGAGGCTTTGCTGTGCATTTCCCCGAGAAAGCATTCTCTCAGTGTGTGTTTGATTATTTATAACCTCAGCCTTCATTAGGAAATCCAGTCCACAGGACACGAGAGTGAGAGTGATTAAGCTGAAATGCATCTACGTAAATAGGTCAGGTACGCATACTGCATCGTGCAATCAAGTATTTCCTCATCTACCAGAGAGCTATGTATTCAGGTTTACGTGCATTTACAGCTTGTTTCTCCAACATACTGGGACATTTTCAAAGTCTAATTTCTCTACTGATGTGTGTGTGTGTGTGTTATGTGTAAATATTCAGTTACTGTATGATCTAATTGGAGAGAGTAACGTTGTGTTCACTGGATTCTGAATGTTAAAATATTCTAATAGCAGTATTTATAGTATTTGCTTTGTTTTAACAGCACTGCAGCTATACAATAAACCCATCCATCCACCTCAAAGCTCAATAAACTCAGAAATATCCAGCGGTGGTGAACAGCAAAATGGCGACGATAGAGAAAACTTGAGGTCAAAAGAAGTCATTAAGAATCTAAGTTTTTAAGAGAATCTGACCAGTTACAGCAGACTGTGTAATTATGTGACAGCAGATGCTACTGATGTGGGTCAATAAATGTTGCTGCTGAGAAGAAGAATTGTTAAGTGATTGTTGAGTGTATCCCATATAAGGGGATAAGTACAAATGAAGCTCCTGGCATTTAGAGATTTCGACCAGGTCTTATCATGGCAGATACTTGTCAGTTTACTCAGTTGGGAAACATCCTAAACAAAAGAAAGAGAAAAATTCATTCACAGTCTCTAACCTGTCATCCCCAGTGGATCTGTTGTGGATCTGTTGTGCAGGAGTCAGACCAGAGCTAAACCAGCTGCACCATCATCAAACCCTGTACAAATACCAAGCTCTGCACTATAACTTTTGGAATTTATTTTCCCCATTACATTACAGTAGCCAGCAAGATCCAGTAATTCTACAGTGCATCAGTTCCATACAATTTTTTAAAGTATTATACTGTGTATGTTTTACAGTATAATACCATCTACTGTTTTGTTGCCATTATACTGATTACTGTTCCCACTGTGATTTCCATGTACAGTATATTGCTATAAAATGTATTTGAATTCTATGAAATCAGATTTTACAGTTTAATATTGCAAGAAGCTAATGATTGATGATGATGACGATTTACATTTCACTAATCTGCTTCAGTCCTGTTGCCTCCTGACCCTCGTCTCCTCTCTGCTATACTTCTGTTAAATCTGACTCAATCTCTCGGCTCCTCGTCTCATCTTGTGCACCTCATTGTTTCAATCTTCCTGTTCTGCAACTCCATTGTTTCAAAATCTCCATCCAACATCCAGCTCCCCTCCATCCAATCTTCATCCAACTTGCCTACTGTTTGATAATGGGAGTTTGAGATGGAGTCAGGAATTCAGTGTGGTGGACGCTGGCCTCCTCAAAATGATCTTCCAAACCAAGTAAGCAGCATCTGTGTTTCTTCTTCCTGCAGCTGCTGCTTCCCTGAGGTCAGTAGAAACACAGAACAATGTGGACGGATGCATCTGCCTCAAAGATTATGACAACATTAAACACGACAAGCATAGAAAGCTGAATTAGTCGGTACTGATGGCAGCGCTGTTCTCTGGCCTGTTTACAACAGCTGGGATTTTTTTGTGTGTTATTAGAAACATCTGCATAATGGGCACGGGCTGAAATATTAAATCAGTGTGTTCATTGCCTGTGATGCTTTATGCCCAGTGCCATTATGGTTGTATGGTTTTACACTGCATACATGTCCTCCTCCTACTCTAGTTTGAACAGATACATCTGGCGAATTTAACATTCTTAGCGTGCCTGCAACATCTGGAGAGAGATACATGAGAGTCATATCACAAAACACAGACACAGGGGATCATAAGTATGTGTGATAAATAAAATAGATGGAGAGAGCGTGTGTGAGACATGGGAGGGGGAGCGGTGGACAAGAGTCAAGGGGGGGGGGATCCATCAAATTTTAGGAAAGCTTTATTTTGCATTTATAATTAGCAATAATTTGTTCAGTACATTGTCATGACTTATTATCACTATTTAAAATTATAATTTCTTATGTTAGCACTGTGTTGAGCGGGACACCTCTCTGGATGGGGGGTCCAGACCCGGGGGTCTGGACCCCCCATCCTAATTCCTTGACAGAGGTATATACAATTCAAAGCTTTAATTGAAAAGCAAATACAGTGGGGGACTGAATCAATGATTTTATTAAATCGTAGGAGTATGGTCAAAGAGTCAGTATAATTCCTAAGATTTTAAGTTTAAAGGGTTTTCTTCAGCACTCTGTTTGACATTGTTACTGAAATCATCTGCTTCACAAATAATTTTGCTTCATGACATTTAAAAAAGTAAAAATGGCTAAAATGATTTAAATCATCATCCATGGATAAAGATTAAATGTCTCAGAGTCCAACAAGATGCAAGACGTCAAAATGCAAGACGTCAAAATGCAGTACTGAAAGTGTTTAGAGAAGTATTGAGAAATAAGTCAGTCAGCTGATTGTAGGTTGTGTGGTGTCCGTCACAGCTCAGCTCTTTGAACACTCGGCTCCGGACACCGTCAAGTGAGCAGCAGCCCAACATCTGTCCTGCAGGTATTATTCAAATATCTAACACAGCAATTTATTTAGATTTCAGAATATTTAGATTTAATAAACTTTATCAAAAAATTGTTCTGATGAAATACTGCTATTTTATTTTATAATTTTTTTTTTCAATTCTCCACAGAAATCCCTCTGCTCCTCAACAAACAATGAATTACTCATATGATTATTCGGAATATGAATACAATTACGAAGATAATTCGACTCCACACGAGGAGCCTGTTTTTCAGCACAAAGCGACGTGTTTGAAGGAAGTCCTGTGTGTGTTTTTGCTGGTGGTCAGCGTGATGATTTTTCTGTTGGGCTTCTGTGGAAATGCACTAGTCATCTGGATTTCTGGCTTCAAGATGAAGAAGACAGTCAACACCACCTGGTACCTGAGCCTGGCAATCTCCGACTTCCTCTTCTGCACCTTTCTCCCGTTCAGCATCACCAACATGGTGATGGAGGAGTGGCTCTTTGGCCGCTTCATGTGCAAGTTCACCTCCTCCATCATGTTTGTCAACATGTTCAGCAGCATCTTCCTCCTGGTCTTCATCAGCATTGACCGTTGCATCTCTGTGATGTTTCCGGTTTGGGCCCAGAACCAGCGAACTGTCAACAAGGCGTCCGCTGTCGTTGTCCTGGCCTGGTTTCTCGGCATCGCTCTGAGCATTCCCTCTGTGATCTTCCGAGAAGTTAGGAGTCACCTGGGAAAGACTGTCTGCTTCAACAACTACACTCTACAGCAAGAGAGTCACAAAATTGTTGCAGTGAGCCGCTTCATTGCCGGGTTTGTTATCCCGTTCATCATCATCATTGTTTGCTACTCCATCATCATCCTAAAACTCCGCACCAACAGGATGACCAAGTCCGCCAAACCCCTCAAAGTGATGACCGCACTAGTAGCTGCTTTCTTCTTCTGCTGGCTGCCCTACCACGTGTTCGTCCTGCTCGAGCTGAACCACCAAAACTACGACCATGGTACCTTAATCGTGGGACTGAAAGTAGGCACGTGTATGGCAGCAGCAAACAGCTTCCTCAACCCGATATTGTATGTTTTCATGGGCAATGACTTCAAGCAGAAGTTCAAGAGCTCCGTGCTCTCGAAGATGGAGAATGCGATGGGAGAGGAAGGCCGCACCACCAGCCGATACCTGTCCAGGTCCAGCTCGATGGACGGCAGAGCTTCCACACACATCTAGAGGTATCACACAGCACACAGCATTACAGTTTTCAAATATGCAATTTATCAACAGAAGAAATTAAATACGCCTTTAATTTCAGGGAAGAATCTGCAAGCCTAAGTTACTATGTCCACATTTGCTCATGCTGTAGGTTGACTGGAATCAGTCTCATCCAGCTGGAGTGTTTCAGAGCGTTATTAGTGCAATTTTACAACAGCTGCACAAAGAGAGATTGTACTGATAAAATGAAAAAGCTTTAACATATTATGTAGAACATGTGTTATCATTATTGTTGCTCATTTACCATAGAACCGATTGTTGTAAAGTTGTACGTGAACTCTCAACTGACCTTATACTCAAAGAGAGATGTTATTCCGTTTTGTTTATGGACAAAACGTTGTGCAATAATTTCTGTGTAGCAGCATATTTTTTGAGTTGCATCCATAGTTTGACTGAAATATTTAGTGTGTGGGAAGATTTTACTGTATAACAACTCATCATAATGCAGTACGTCATAATTACCTTTACCAGTGTGTTAAATGAATGCAGATTTTTTTATTTCATGTATGAGAAGTATAGTTATTTGTGCAATAAAGTTTTCAATGTATTTCGCTGCTGCTGTTTCCTGAATTATTTTTTTATCAGCATCAACTCTTTGATGCGATCTTCAACTTCTCAATATTGGGGCATTATTATTTTAATCATTCCCAATTAATCAAATAATTGTCAATTAAGAATCCTTTGTCCCCTTAACTCTGAGTGTGAGCGTCTGTTTTTTATTGATGTTGGAATAGTGGAACAGAGGGAAGACCCAGACTCCAAAAGTTAAATGAAACAGTGAGTCACATTTTAAAGCTGCATGAGTCAGTGTTATTAGTCAGTGTTATTTATTGTGACCACTGGGCCATGTGTTAATCTGAAAGGGCTCAGCTCTACAGTGCGCTTAAGGGTGTTTCAGCTCGTTGTTTTGGTTGTACAAGACCAAAACTTTGTCGTTAGGTTCATTGGTTCAGACGTTTCTCCTTTTTGAGCTGCAGGCTGTTGTGCCACCACATGGCAAACACCCAGAGACAACAGCTGGGGAGGAGAGTTAAGCTGCTAAAGAGCCAGATGTTGGTTGAGACCAAATCAGAGCAAAAATACAAGTGTGAACAATGGACTGACATTCATCTGATGTTCTGAGCTTTTCATCGGGCACCATCATCAGTTTAAAATCGCCTGTAAAAGCCTGAGTGATGATGTGACAGTTAACACCAATTCATTTTGAAAGAGAAATGTCACACTTGGTTGTCTGACCAATGGTGTTACATCAGTCACTTACACAGTATTTCATTCTTAATTCAACTCTGTTCCTCACTCACTCACGCATGGTGGGTGCAGCAAAAAAGAGCAGGCCCTAGTAACAGACTCAATGTACTTATTTATTGGGGCTTATCACATTACATTCATTCCATAGAAAATACATTCAAAGGTGACACCTATGTTCAGAGAGTGTCTGCTTGTCAATGAAAGTGAGAGCCAATAAAGTTTAAAGCATGTGTTAAAAATAGAAACGACTCCCGTCTTGTTTGTTGGAATACAAATATTTTTGATGTCTCAGCACACATTATAAAAATATATTCATATCATATTGAAAATGGAAGTCAGTTAATGTTTTCTGTCTCTTAGTCACCAGTGCTAATATATATATGTATATGTATACCGTATATCTATTTATTTGTATGTTTGTTTATCTTTATGCATATGGCGTAGCACATATACAGCCATTATAAGACGTGCTGCCTTTAGTCATCACCAGCTTCAACTGTTTCATAGCTCTTCTTACAACAAAGCAATTAAAAATAAAAATGTTCACATTCTGTATGATGAACTAAAAATAAATCTCTAACGATCACTACAGCTAATGAGAACCTCCGGTCTATAACGTGATTGTAATGCCTAATTCCTCAGTGATCTTTGGGGCAAGTGTTGCACAGCAATGTGCTTTTTGGATTTTCTGCTGAGTCCAGTGTCAAGAAAATATATCCACAACCAAATTAGTCATAAATAAATGCTGTCGAGATAAATCCTCTTCTCTCTTTTAGTCAGTGCCTTCAAGTGAGAATCTTCTTCTTGAATAGGAGTTGAGAATTGAGTTCTTTACCTCTTCTTCATCAAAAAACATGATTTCTCTCACATACAGCTGAAGTTGAATAACTTACAAAAAGCTTGGAAACACACAGTATCATCATCAGGTAGATAAAACCTGCATATTGCATTTTTCCCTCCAAAAAAGGGCTCAGAGTTTTTAGGTTCTCAGTAAAGTTAATGTATAAAATAGAATTATTCTGTCACTATAATAGCAGCGGAAAATTTTGAGTTTTGAGTTAGGTCTCTTTTGCGGCAAATAAGCTCATACAACACAACCTTGCAGAACTGTATTAAATATTTTGGGTCAAATGTTTTTTTTCACTGGCAACAAATCACCCAGCACAGTCAGATCTTTGTAGTCAGCGTTGTACCATCTTCATTTTAAGGCATGTGCACATGCCTACACAGCACATGTGCATAGAGCAGGATAAGAAGTGCTTTGTGTTCTTTTCATTTAGCCAACGAGAAAAACAAACCTCCACAGTTTAAACTGTGTCCTCTACTAATGCATGAAGCTGCTGAGGTTCAGAAAATTTAAAAAAAGGATGAATAAAAAATGAAAATAGGAGGGTACAGAGGCTGATTTTGTCTCACTACAATTTCCACCTATATGACTTTACAGAAAAATAATTAAAACAACAATTTAAGTGATGTAACTCTACAAAACCGAACAGTCCAGTAAGTGAGGGGAAAAAAGGGAAATGAGAGGATCACATATATCATCTTGGCATATATTCCGCTGGCACTCCAGACATTTTTCTTTTCTTCAAACTAGCATCCACTGTTCTGATCAGTTCATTGATGTTCGCTCGCATCTCGCTCGTATACGGGTCATATTCAAGTTTTCGCAGCCCCGATCGCTTGAAGTTTCCATCTTTCTGGCCCTCAACACAGAGCAGGCGGTCCTCAGAGACCTTCAGACCCAGAAACTGGACCATCTCCTTGAGCTGTGAGAACAGGTCCCTCTTCAGGTCCTCAAAGTGGACCACGTGGACCTTCTTCCCATAATTCAACCAGTCCTGTGTGTGGGACGCCCACCACGGAGCGTAGTTCTTCACAAACTCGGGCCACTCTGCAGAGAACCAGAAATACAGGTGTCAATCCTCTGAATAAAAACCATGCTATTAAAAAAGGGTTGGCAGATTACCCATAACCCCCTTCGCGATCCTCCTGAGGAGATCATAAAGGCCCAAAATAAAAGTATCTTTACAATAACAACAACAACTTTATTTTATGACAAACAAAGTAACTTTACTTTTAGATTTGATTTAGAAAAATTTAAATACATGGAGATGAAGTGAGAAAACCGAACACTGATTACGGGCAGGCTGCATTACGTCATTGGTGAAATGTGAAACTACAGAAGTCCTGTAGGAAAAACCTTTTGCCTGTAACTTTTTACTCATAGATAAATACTGCTTCAAACAAGCCGCTGCTGAGGAGAGGCTGTGGTAGAATTTTAAAGTTGATAAATATGATACTTATGTTCCTAGTAGCAAGGGTTTGACTTCAGAAACCCCAATAAAGATATTTATGCAACAGCCTTTATGTAAATCCCTCATATTGGAAATTAGCAGCCTGTGCTTAGTAAGATGTCACGTCCCCCAGAATAAGTTGCACTGGCCCCTGAGTTGAGTCTATGAGGCCTCACAGTCTTCCTCCAGAGGTGAGTGCATCACATTGTACATGTAGGGCACAATGTCACCGTGACTCTCAGACCGGAGCCTCTCTTCTGTATTCAAAGTGGCAGCTGTCAAAAAGCTTTTCTCTTTACTGATGTCATCGTGTTATTTCTCCATCAACACGAGGAATAAACACTCATCGGATATGGCAGAGCGAATGTGCTGATGTTTCCACAGAGTGACAACTGCTGCATCAGCAACTCTCCAGCCTCTGGAAATTCAATTAAACGTCACAGAGAGATACAAAATGCGGACGAGACAAAAATCAGTTGCCATGGCTACTGAAACACTCTTGGTGTATGTGGATGTAATGTAATCTTAGCAAGGGATGAAAAAATGTGTCTCTTATTTTGTGAACAATGAGAAACTGGACCCAAAAGTTTAATTTCTTTAAGTCATGAATGATGAAGGAATTAAAGAAAGAGAGGGAAGAAGGAGAGGAATTTATTTCAACTGTGCTGACAAATCATGAATGGTTCTACGTTGCAGGTTGATGCACTTTGTAAGACAAAATGTCCAAATCAATCACACAAAAAAATTATGATGAGGCATGAATTCCATCATTAAGTAACATCACTGCATACAGACATGTCTTAATATATTGTAAAAACATAAATGAAGCAGCTAAAACTTCAGGATCATTTATTTTTCCTCCCTACTTTGTATTGCCGTTGCTTATAAAGATGGACGATATCACTGCTCCCTAGAGGCTATATAGTCAAGCCTTCTCCATGTTAGTGGGACAAAACTATGCTAAGCTATTCAGGTGTTTGTGGTAGCATCATATTTAACGTAGGCTACATGACAGGGGTATTGGTCTTCTCTCCTAAAGAAGTAAGCATATTTTACAAAAGAAAATGCTAAACTAATAAAATGTGTTAAATCAACACGGCTGGGACAGATTTCTATGATTATTTATTCTACACAGTTTTTACATGTATACATTTCCTACATAACTTATGACCTCAGTGATTGACGTAATGATTGGTAAGTTTCATTTCTCACTGAGACACTCTGTTTATCAGGAAAATGGTTTAGAAAACTTTGTGCTTACTCACATTGGTTTTTCAAACCAAAACCACATCCCAGAGGGTTGGTTCCTCCATTTCTTTGACATGTTGTATCACTACAGATAATAACCATGTTGTTTATTTGCTATTTTCACCTTTTACTTTTCTGATTTAAAGACTCAAAATCTGAGATATTTCCACTGAAGACGTTGATGGAAGACTTACTTTTCCATTTCATTTGATTAAGTAGAGCTGAAGCAAGTTAGTAAGCAGAAAGCAAAGTCGAATAGTTTCTCACCTTTGCCCTTCCAGTGGGCCTGGGAAGCAAACCCAATGTGGCCGCCATATTTTCTGTTAAATTCTGCCATGAGGGCTTTGTAGGGGTTTCGGATCATGACGATGCTGGAGTCAAAGGTTTCGATCTCCTTCCTGCCGCTCTCATGTGTCTTAATGCAGATCGTCCTCCCACTCCGCCAGTGGTCTCGCTCCCCTTTAAATCCTATGAAACAGTGATAATGTTTAATCCAGGCAGTGTTATTCCTGAACTTGTATGT